GGCTGCTGCCTGGGGCCGGGAAGCTTTGGGGATGTGCTGCAAGGTTCCAACCGATGTTGCTTTGATGGCTTCTAGTAGATTCTCAGTCGAAATGAAGCTGTTGGAGGTGTTTTCCCTGACTGCTGGAGCGGGGCCTTGATTGATACCCTCTTTGGGAGGGCGCCACATACCCGGACAATCGGTTCCGTTGTGAGCATGCTTGCGCACATCTCCGTTACGCTTGAGTCTCCACACCTTGTCACACACTTGGCATGTGCCATACCTGTCGTCGATTGATGGCTCCTCTTGGCTGAGAGAAGCCTGGCTGTCAGTCGTGACCTGCGACATCGGCGAGCGCTGGGCGGGCGCTGGGCAGGCGCTGGGTGAGCGCTGGGCGGGACCTGAGCGGGCGCTGGGCGGGCGCTGGGCAGGCGCTGGGCAGGCGCTGGGCGGGCCCTGAGCGGGCGCTGGGCGGGCGCTGGGCATGCGCTGGGTGGGAGCTGGGCGGGCTCTGGGTGGGCGCTGGGCGGAAGTAGCGTGAGGGGGGTGGACACAGGGAGGTAGCGGTCGCGGGCAGGGGGGAGAGGGTGACTCTTGGGTTCGGTGACGGTACACACTAGCGGGTATGGGGAGTGGGGATGGGGGGGGGGGGGGTCAGAGGGGTGACACTAACACGTTTGTATAATCTCGTGATATATATCACTGCACAATATAAATTGGTTCACTGTGAACTCGATGCACTTAAAACACGATACCTGTTTCCCGAGAGCCGAGGTATCTATTTTTCAGGGATATTTTCATAAACACTTACACACGGGTCACCCCCCCCCCCCCCCTCGACTGACCGCACAACAACACCCCATCCCCCCACCCCCACCACTATAACCGAGGGAGCCCCTCAGGGCGCCCTTGTTAGCCCTCACTGCAGTCCAAACGATTCCACACTGCCAATCCACTTGTTTGATTGTTTTTGGTTGCGATAGTTCACCCTGGACACTTCCCGCCACCCTCACACCTTCCCAGGATGTTCACACTGCACCTGCACCTGCACACTGCATATCATTTACATATCATATATATATATATATATATATATATATATATATATATATATATATATATATATATATATATATATATATATATATATAATATATATATATATATATATATATATATATTTATAAATATATATAATATATATATATATATATATATATATATATATATATATATATATATATATATATATATATATATATATTTGAAGGAACTGGGTTCTAGGCTCATTGAAACAACAAGGGACCCTAGAGCTGCCAGCTTTCTTTTCCAGCGCCTCAGCGTGGCGATACAGAGGGGAAATGCGCACTGCATCCAGGGTTCCTGCCCGCCATCTGAGGAGCTGGAGGAACTCGACAACCTATGATAACCATCTTTGTAACCTATATGTATCTCCTTTTTTGTAACAAAGTTCAAATAAAGCAAAGATATATGTGTACATACAAAAGAATGGGGGTGGTTGGAGAAGATAATATTAGTGTTCAGTGAGAAACCACAAGGTCTCCTCTGAATACTTTTTATTTTCTTCTCCGAGGCTATGGGTCCCCACATTGGCACCAGAGGTGGTACCCTCACTATATTTTATATATATATATGTCGTACCTAGTAGCCAGAACGCACTTCTGGCTACTAACCTAACCTAACCTATCTTTATAGGTTAGGTTAGGTTAGGTAGCCGAAAACGTTAGGTTAGGTTAGGTTGTCGAAAAACAATTATTTCATGAAAACTTGGCTTATTAGGCAAATCGGGCCTTGCATATTAGGCTGAGAAGTGCGTTCTGGCTACTAGGTACGACATATATATATATATATAAAATATAGTGAGGGTACCACCTCTGGTGCCACCACTCAGAAGGAGTGGTTTTACAGGTCGAGTACTGGACATAAATAGGCAGGAGAGAATGGTGGAGTGAGGTGAGGTACAAATATTGGAAAGTACCGTTACATTGAATCTGTTACATAGCTTATTTACACATAGTTCAATGCCTCACCCGCCCAGGGGGTCAACTGCGCTCATCCGTGCACACTCACTCACTCTCACTCTTCTCACACACACACAGCCGTTAATGGTCGCCCACTCCGAAGCTCATCCGAGCGCGCTCTTCTTTCATGCTCATCACATTCAGAAATAGTTAGCAAATAATTGAACTAGTCGTACTGGAAAAGATACAGAAAAAAAAGAATGTATCAACGTAACAGGTAACTAAGTGTAGGATGAAGTAGAAATGGGTAAAGATTACTTGAATTGTTCATGCTATATAATGGTGGAGATCCAGAAAGATTGAGTTGGTAAGATTTACATATCATAAAACACAAATAAAAGTGGAACTAACATGGTTATAGTTTATTTGAGGTATGCTTCGTACATAAATGATAATGACGAGCTACGGTAACATTGACTTAGCACACTTCATATGTCATATAGTAGTGTTTGAAGATTTTGATGCAGAGTAATTGAAAAAGTTATCTTAGTTTATTTGCAGCAAGATGTCTTAGTAAAAAATAATAATAATAAAAGACTGATATAAACCTTACTATTTAAATTGAACTACGATACACTACCGACACCATCGTGTGGGAAAAGAGGGTGATGCTGAGATATGAAAACTTGAGATGCTTGACCCAAGATCTGATTTAATGGTAATTAGGTCTAAGGGGCATGGGGAAGGGTAACCACACACTTCCGCTCTCGGCGGTGAGGAGAGAAGGTGATGGGGTGGCGGCAGGTGGTGGGGCGAGAGGTGATGTTCATCCACATCCACTCTTAATCTAATAGATAAAGTAAAATTATTAATAGGTACATTGTAACAAATCTTTAGTTAAACATAATTCCTACAAAATAAATCGACAGAAATGATTACACTGGTGAAGTTGCATGTCTTAAGCACTAATATTGGGGGGAGTGGGTAGCACTAGGTACGGTGTGAGTTCCCTCTCTATCATCCCATTACTTGTACTTCAAGCATTCTGTTGGTTCCTCACCTGACTTTAAAAACTGGAATGAGAATCAATGGTTCAAGAAACTATGTCAGGTCCTTGAGGCTTCAACCAAAGTTATTGAGGACCTACAACGCAATGCTCGCACGAGCCAACAACAACCACAAGAGGAAATAACCTTTCTCTGTGAGGAAATTACTCATCTGAAAACGAATGAATTCACAAAAAATACTAGGGAAAGCGTTTGAAAAAAATAGATCAGTTAATCAGCAATATAAACGCACAACATTCTCTCTCCCAGGATGAACTAGATCAACCTAAGTTGACTATTGTATCACAGCCTTCCTGTAAACCACCTAATGAAAACACTACATGTATTTAAATCCCGAAAACTAACTAACTACATGTTAACTAACTAACTTCATAACGAGATACATATTTGTTGTGATGGGTCAGTAGCTAAGGACGGAAAGGCAGGATGTGGCATCTTGAATAGGGAGAACACTGACATTGGCTCCGTAGATACTGTTAATGGACATCTCTTAACTGATTATGTATTTTCAACACAGACTGAACTTCAAGCTATATAAGCAGGCTAAAAAAAGTAGTAGTTAAGCTGTCTCCGTGGCGCAGTGGTAACACACTCACTCTGCGCTTTGCGAGCGATTTGGCCTGGGTTCGTATCCAGGCTGGCAAGAGTTGATGTGGCATCAATTCTTAACTGTACGCCTCTGTTCATCCAGCAGTGAATGGGTACCTGGTTGTTAAAGGATTTGGCGGGTCATATTCCAGGAAAAATTAAGATTAAGTACCTGCCTGAAACGTTATGTGTGCTAGCGGCTTTTTAAAAATGTAAGAACTCTTGTATATGTAAATAAGAGAAAAATAATTAAATGTGGTAAAGATGCCTGTTTTTTATCGATAGTAGAGGAACGTTGGAGTTTTTAAATAGTAGATCAGTATATTATCATGTTGTGAACAAGAGAATATTAAAACACTAAAAAAATGGATATATAAAGTAAAATTTATGTGGATCCGTTCACATGTGGGAATATTGTTAAACGAGGCAGTTGATAAGATAGCGAAGAGAGCCTCAGAAATTTTTTGTTGTTGATGTTATATGTCGAACAACCTTGAAACAAATGAAGACAAGAATCAAGATAGATGATCCAAGATGATGAAGAAAAAGTAAAGAGAACGGAAATGTTGGACAGCAGTAACACACTTAAACATTATGCAATAATAAACACGAATTCGTATAAAGTCTGCATAGCAGGACTCAGTTGACATAAGATTAAGAAACACTTTTATGAAATTTTGTTGTTCACAATTGTTCAAAATTCTTTGTCTTGTCACCAGAAGTAAAATAATTAATCTGTAATGAACTATACATTAAACAAATCAACAATCAAACTAGAATATATAGAAATGAATGTCAGATTTAATTGACAACAAAATACAATTCTTAAATTACCTTTGTCCTAAAACATAATAATTTATACTAATTAATAGCCAGAAAAATTCACCTTCAATAAGCTGATAAATATATTGATCCAACATTAATCTGAAACAGGAGTTGTAGCAGGGAAGAGCAGAGGAGCAGAGGACTGCCTGCTTGCACCTGGGCAGTAAAACAGTATTTTCAAATACAGTGAAAAAAAAATACAAAATCAAAATAAAAAAGTCTAAATATTTATTTATATATTTTCAGAAATAAGGATGCCATTGGCAACAAAGCAAATGAACATTTACTAAATTTCTTATTTAAGTATTCTAGCTAAGATCTGTATAAATAATAAGAGCCTCGAACATCAACACATTAACTACCAAGTTTTCAAGCAAGGTTTATTTTAATATTTTATTCTCGTGATATTTAATGAACTATTTTAGGAGTATATGTTAATAAATCAGCCTTAGGAACCAGTTATGTATATTTGAGATCAACAATACAACTAGTTAAAACATATTCGGAAGAATATTCATTAATATTTATGTTTTGGAACCATCACTTGACTAATATTGAACCAGTAACCTCTATTTGTTATGGAACTTCCGTGAGGATCGAATCCTGTATTTATCTGAGGACCACTAACACTCTAGTGGCCTCGACGAGGACAGGAAGCAGACGGCTTGTCAGAGGTCCTCCCATTTGCCTTGATAATCTTTTCCAGATGAACTTTAAAATTTAACAGCGTTTTGCCATTTACGGCTTCGGCGGGTTGGTAGTTCCATTGGTTTATAATCCTGAAACCGCCTACCTGAATTCTGTTTATTCATAGGTTACAGCATGCAACCAGCAGTGTTGAGAGACTCCCCACACCTGAGGAACTCTCCACGGGAAAATGTTGGGTAATTGCTTCATTTATTATATTATTTACGTGAGATATAGACAAGTAGTCGATTTCATAATGTTGAAGGATCCAGTACAGTTAAATTTGCAATAAAATTGTGTTTTTCTTTCACCCAAATAATTAAAAAAAAATTCTTTTAGAAATTGTCTTACAAACAACCTTTAAATGTTTTGTATTGTGTTCAACAATAACATATAAGTTATACTTATCACAGTTGTCCATGGAGAGGGAAAATATGCCGTGGAGGGAAAATATAAATTATTTGGGTTTATGATTCATGATACAATCTGAGAAGCATCAAATTATTTTTACCTTCTGTATGAATTACCCGCTGTCACTTTAACATATATGTTATGGTTTTACATTTTATAGCTGACCGATGTTCGTCAAGAGACTGAGGAAGGCTATGCTGGTGTTCAACATCATCGTTCTTGGGCTGAGTTCTTGTGATGCGAGGAGCGGCATTAGTGAGGCGAGAAGCAGCATTAGTGAGGCGAGGAGCGGCACTAGTGAGGCGAGGAGCGGCATTACTGATGCGAGGAGCGACAGTACTGATGCGATGAGCGGCAGTACTGATGCGAGGAGTGGCATTACTGATGAGAATAGTGGCCTTACTGATTCGAGGAGCGGCAGAAGGCGAGGTTCTCCCCCAGCAAGGTGAAGAGAGCGATGCCACATCCCAGAAACAAAAGGTAAAAGACACCTTGAAGATGTTGCAGCCCCAACACCACCTCTTCACTCTCCTCCTGTCACAAGTAATAACATCACGTTATATGTCTTTCAGAACATTTAAATATATTGGAACGACTTTATGTGACTTTCCCTCCACTCACCATTGAACTCTATACCAATATACCCGTTTATTTGTTTAATTCTAAAGAAGAGTTCATACCTTAAAAATATAAAACAAATTTGTTTTAATTAACAAAAACTTGAACAATTTATATTGCTAAAAGTAATTTGTTTGGTATCGTTCTATAGCTAAAATATTTTTTTTGACATAATTAAGCGCAATATTTATTAAAATCATTCCAGAAAGCGAGAACAAAAATTTAAATACCTATCCCCTCCAGTTATTGTATGGTTTATAAACAACATCGTGTGAAATTGTCGTCCAAACTGGATGAAATATAACAGTTTTGCATATTAAGATTAAGAAAATATGATATTTAGATAATTTATAAAGTATTTAGAGTAAAAAACATGATTGTGACACTCAACACTGTTACTTCTGATACAAATAACTCTCTCCATATATATGTTTTCTCCAATAACGTTTACTCAGTTATTCAGCTTATGATACAATTTTCCATAGAAATAATTAAAAGAAAGGCTGGCAGCAATCCTGTACTGTTGGTAGAGGATGTGTAGGCGGCAGTAAGCATTAAAATTTAAACATATACTTAAAATACGTTGATTCTTTAAGAATAAAACTAAAACTATTACCAAAGAACAAGACTTCCTCGTGCCTGATTAACACACAATCTACTCTTTGAGAAGTTACCAAATATTACATCCTATCATTTTAGAAGGAAAGAACTTAGAGTAAGTGTTTGGTGGACAGTAAAAGTGTGTAGTGATGGACCACCAATGAGTCGAAGTTTTGTATTAATGAATTAGCCCCCCCAAAAATTCAAACAACATAAATGTAATATTTGCCTAACCACACCTTTTCTAGCAGTCCTGGGCCTGATAGGCGCTATCTTAGGCCTAATACATTTCGCATATATGCTATACTAGACCTAGGAATGTTTAAGCTTGGAGTTTTAGTTTTATTTCGCCCGGACTCAATGAAATTAAAATCATAAAACGTGTACTTCTTGTTGGTCCATCACTACATGTTGGCACTTGCGATTAAATAGTCACTACAAGTGCTATCATTACAGGAGGGCTGGGTGGAATATTAGCGTGGTGATTACCTTGCCTGAGTGCCCTTGGGTGCCCTGAGGGTCCAGTGCTGCAGCCGCCCTGTTTTCCCTCACACGCCTGGATATTACCTCCTCTCTCCAGTAGCTTATGATGCCAGAGTCCTCCAGCCGAGACATGAGCTGGTGAAAACGCGGGTAGAACGGCGCTCCCTTCCTGAGAAATTAATGCGAGGAAAATATCCAACAAGAAAAAGTTAATAATTGTTGTTTGGAGAAGTTACAGCAGATCTAAATATATAAACACAAGTGTATTCACTGCATTTTACAGATTTATTTACTTTTTTCAATGAAGTAAAACAAAAATAAAATAAAATATTAAGTGGTTGAGAAAGCTGCAGGAAACAGATGTTGTCTGGATATGACAAAGGAACAATCTAAATTGTCTGACGTCTGACGAAAGTCTGACGGATCACTCAATACAGCTACAGGGAGGGCAGGAAGTGTTGTTATGCTCATCAGCCCGATGGCAGCATAATTCAAAGGAATATAAGAATTAGTAACGGTATCCATAATGCAGGCTGAGTTGGTAGCAATACTGGTAGGACTCGAAATCATTGACAACACTGACAGCTTAATTATTTCCGACTCACTTTCCTCAAAACTAGCAATAAGTAGTTAGCAATTAAGTACAAACGTGCTAATCTCAGAAACCAGACATAGATATATAAGTATGCTTGACAAGGGGATATATATATATATATATATATAAATGTTGTAGATTCACCTTCTCATAACGAATCATAAGCCTCGTAAGCTCAACTAAACTAGCAAATCCTCAAAAAAATATAAATCTGTTTAATACTTTCAACAATTGTTCATAATTTAGTGGTAACTACCATTATCTTTTTTAACCTTTACAGAGTTCCCGGGACCACACCAACACTTTACCATTACAGAGTTCCCGGGACCACACCAACACTTTACCATTACAGAGTTCCTGGGACCACACCAACACTCATCCATTACAGAGGTCCTGGGACCACACCAACACTTTACCATTACAGAGTTCCTGGGACCACACCAACACTTTACCATTACAGAGTTCCCGGGACCACACCAACACTTTACCATTACAGAGTTCCTGGGACCACACCAACACTCATCCATTACAGAGTTCCTGGGACCACACCAACACTTTACCATTACAGTGTTCATGGGACCACACCAACACTTTACCATTACAGTGTTCCTGGGACCACACCAACACTTTACCATTACAGTGTTCCTGGGACCACACCAACACTTTACCATTACAGAGTTCCTAGGACCACACCAACACTTATCCATTGCAGAGTTCCTGGGACCACACCAACACTTTACCTTTTCAGAGTCCCTGGGACCACATAAACACTTTACCTTTTCAGAGTCCCTGGGACCACAGCAGCAGGAACTATGCAGGAACCACAGAAACCACAGCAGCAGGAACCTTTACAGAGTTCTAGGACCACACCAACACTTTATCTGTACAGAGTTCCCAGGACCACACCAACACTTTACCTGTACAGAGTTCCTGGGACCACACCAACACTTTACCTTTACAGAGTTCCTGGGACCACACCAACACTTTACCTGTACAGAGTTCCTGGGACCACACCAACACTTTACCGGTACGGAGTTCTTGGGGGCCACACCAACACTTTGCCTTTACAGAGTTCCTGGGACAACACTGTGAGAGTATGATCTCTCAAGATTCTAACAACAGTTGACATAGCAATGCACAGTGCAAAAAGCCAATCTCTTTTACCCATGGATGGAAAACTGTCATGTAGGGTGTCATTAGGATGCCCACATATTTAGATATACACCAATCATACGGAGGCAGCTGTATGTCCAGATAGAAAGTAGATAAAGAGGAGTCAAGCAATTGCGCCATAGCAATTGAGAGTCCGGGAGTACACAAGATGGAAGGCGCCAAGAGTGAGAAGAGGGAACGTCAGTGAGACAGGAGAGATGAGCATGACCTCTGGGGTCAGCATCAACCGTCGCGATGAAGAATAGTAACGTAGTCGTGACGTGGTAATGACTTCACTTCTACCCATCATGTAAGGATCAATATCATTGGTTCCGGCACCTGCTTTGCAACGCCATTGGTCAGTTTGTAGACCTGGTGTTTGTGCCCCGAGGAAGAGTGTAACCTCTTGGAATGTTACCAGCTGGCACTATGGAGTAATTGCAGGTGAAGTCCACAGACAGAAATGTTTTCATCAATTTCTGGATGATATACTGTGACGGTGTTCACCCCTATATTTCTTCCTTCCCAGCTTAGAAGAGTCATATCTCCGTAGCCTAAGTATTCTCTAATGTTCAGGGAACATTTTCATGTGTGGGAAAGCGTGGAGCATGATTAAGCTGGCTGTAAAGTGGCTAGCTAAGTTTGGAAATGAAAGGGGCTTACGCCTTTTGAAGCACAGGACGGTGACGAGCCATCCTGTTTCCCGCCAAGACGTCCTGACGCTTCCCGGCACCTGATTGGCCAGGTGAAGTCACGTGCCGGAAGTGACCAATGACGAGAGCCCTCGGGCAGTGTGACGTCATGAGGCGGAGGGGGCGCAGGGCGGCTGGCGCCTGGGGCGAGTACGTCACGAGCCGTCAGAGAGGGAAGACGCGCTCGAGCGAGCTCCGGACCTAGAGAGCCCTTACCAATAGATTTAAGCTCCGCTTCGATTCTGCAGACAGTCTGGGAAGCCATCCAACTTCCGTGGAGTGCCCGGAGGCAAGGACTGACCGGATTGAAGAGCCAAGAGCCGTATCAAGAGTCTGCAGCAGGGGAAACGTTGGGCTGGTGACGTCTGGGACGCCCACTAGAGGACCACGTCCTGCACATCAAGCGAGAAGCTAGGGCCGGGCCCAAATCTACTGGCAGTTAAGGCGAGGGGAAGCTGTACTGGACTGTGAGGAGTCGACAGTGCCAGTGAGTGTGGAGGACGACGACGGAGATACCTGTTTCCAGTTCCACGAAGAATAGGAGGAGGAAGGCAGTACCTGTTGGATGTGAGCACGGCGAGGACGCGTTACCACGAAGGCGATGAAGGAACCTGTGTGTGTGTGTGTGGGAACTGTTTATCAGGAGACCAGAAGCCACAACGAGGAACCTCAACATTCCTCAACTGAGGACGAGTCAGCTTCGTGGTTGGAGTGAAATAAGGTAGATAATTGTCAATCCCTTACCCCTTTTGAGCTAGGGGAGTTAGAGTATTTTATATGTTGTGAACATTTCTTTTCATTTTATTGTCTAAGTGATAGGACGTTAGGCTAGGAGCCAGTAACTCATTTAGGCATGAGTTCATGTGGGCGAGCATTAACGTAGTGATGTTAGTGATCCTGGAAGGGTAGTTGGTGTGCAAGGGGTCAGCAACGTACTCTGAAACGCACAGCTGATCGCATCGCTGGAGGAGTGGGAAACTACGGCGTTCTGACAGCTGGAGCCGTCAGCTGATCGTGCTGCCAGAGGCGCGAGGTGTGTGCCCACGCCGGGGGAGTGGATCCAGTCAGCTGACCGTGTTGCCAAAGACGTGTCATCGATAAATGCTGCCGCCAGTGGATGATTCCAACATAGACATTCCTTTATGCCACATATAAATGTATATATGTTTTCTGCAGTAAACTTTTAAACTAACTGAAGGGTTTAAGTGAGCCTCCATTCTCTAGGGCTAGATATATTATATATTTATGAGACCATTAGTGACCCTTTGCACTGCACGGGACATTGCATCCTTAGCCAAGATACCACTGACGTGTTGCTGGGACACGAGTATAAACACCCAGTTGGCGACCTCAGGACAGATGCAAGAGAAAATGTTCCAGTGTCAGGACAGGCAGGTTTAAGTGAGTTATAAGCAGCTTGAACCTCCCCACTCGCTAGGGGTGTATAAGGCCAGCCCTTAGTTGACTGGGGGAGCCCAAGGGCGAGCAGTGGCGCCCGGTACTGAGGGGCTAAGACTTGTGGAACGACCCCAACCACAGGGTGGAAGGGGTGAACCCTGACATATACATAATCTGTATATGGAATATCACAGGAATGTGATATTCCATATACAGATTATGATTTGGATCCAGGCTTCTCCAGGGGCAGAAGCACTGCTCTTGGTGATGACAGCATCACCTATGATATTCTAAGACTCCTACATCGTGTACCCGGTAATCCATTATTAGAATTGTTTAATGCGAGTTATGTTACTGAGCAGCTGCCATTTTCATGGACCCACAGTCTTACTGTACCTGTACCAAAGCCTGGCCAACCTGATGCTTTTCGTCCCATCTCACTGACCAGTTGCATGTGCAAAACTTTTGAGAGAATGGTGCTTAATATATTATTGTAGAGTTAAAGAGCACATGTCACCTGATATCAATGGTTTCACAAATGGTAAAAGTGTACACAACAGTATCACAATTATTTCTCACTGTTAATGGAGATAAAAGGCACAAGTATATAACATTTCTTGATTTATCAAATGCCTTTGATATTGCTAATAGTGAAATGATTCTGTATGAATTAGCAGGAATGGATATAGGTGGACAATTATTACAATGGATACGGGGCTATCTTACTAACCGGAAGTCCTCTGCACTGTTCCAAGGCTACAAGAGTAAAACTAAATTACTGCAACTAGGCACCCCACAAGGAGAAGTACTAAACCCTACCTTGTTTAATATTCTAATTAATACCTTACTAAAATCAGTCCCAACTAATCTGGCAAACATCACTATCAGATATGCAGATGATATCCTTGTGCATACTAAAATCCACCGCGAAACGCAAATAATCAAAAATTGTATACATACAGCTTGTGAGAGTCTTGGTCTTTTCATGAACGCTGCTAAAACTAAGGTATTTAACAGACAAATTGGTAATTGTACCTTAACTGCAGTCAATAAGTTACATCAACAATGTAGAGACAGACTCAAGGCTCTCAGAACTGTAGTGGGGTACAGCCCTAAATACGGTGTTAATATTAGAATAGGAAAAATGATGTACTTAGCATATATACGGTCTCTGATAGACTATCATGCACCAGCTTTAGTCCTGCAAAATGACAAACATATTGATAGATTGGAAAAAATGCAAATGAAGCACTCAGAATTATACTTGGCCGTCCCATTACTACCCAAAGCTCTCAATATGCGCAAAGAATTAAATATACCAAACATTCAAGA